GAGTGTCATATATTTGATATTTTCAGTTGAGGATTAAGAAACTCGATGAGGGCCATGGAGTCGGTTTGACTGTGAAAATCCCATTCAAAGGTATAAAGTGGGAGAGTTTACTTTCCTGCTTTTTGGCTCTCGGCATTAAAGTTAACCATTTGCATGACATGCAGATTCAGCTCCAACTGAAGCCTGCAAATGTGGTTCATGTGGTAGGATAACTTGCATATGCCTCAAGTCCTGTAACTCATCCGGAAGTGAAGTTTCTTCATTAACGGTATATGCAGATTATTGCTTGATCTTTAATGAATTGAGTTTCCTCTTGGTCTTGTCATTACCAAAAGGAAATATGAATCAATGCTCTTGTCACAATAGGATTGTCAGGTAATGAACACCTCAAGTTCACAGGCGAGTGAGTCAGAGCTACTTTCAAATGGTGAGGAATCTTTAGCTTTTTCTTTCCCGCTTCATTTACTACCTCTTGATTCTATTTCTGCTACTTTTGTATCATTATACTTACCTTTTATCCTTTTTAGGGTCTATAAGCTCAAAGAATGATAAAATCGGTTGTGTAAGTTCTCAGCCTGAGATACCTACGAATAATGGTAAGTTATGATTCCTCTCTTCTTATTACAATCAAGTCTGCGGGATTTCACTTTTTTGTATTGCTTGGTTTATTAACTCTCTGATTGCTACAGAGTTGAAAACAAAACTTCCTGTTTTGCCGCCGTTACCACCTGAGAAGGCTCTTCGTGCTGCAATACTGAAGGGTCAATTTGCAGAGACCATTCTGAGAGCTAAACACAGAAAAGTCCTTGATCAGGTATCATCATTACTTTCCTGATTCCGATTACAAAAAAAAACAGAGACTCTCACAGCTTATGTTTAATGGAAAGTTGCTGTCTTGTCGTGTTTTTACAGAGTAACAAAGCTGATCTAATTAGAATACAGATAGAAAAGGAACAGATGGAAAAAACACTACGTGAAGGTACACGGTTACATGTTCTAATGGAAGTAAAAAAAAGGTCAAGCTTTTCTATATTCGCCTCTTACGTTCCACCAAAAATGCAGAGAAAGCTAGAATTGAAGCCGAGATGAGAGAGGCTAAGATTGCTACACGAATGAGGGCAGTAAACGAATTGAAACAACAACGTGAGAGACAACGGCTTGAACTAGAAAAGGTATTTTACGGATTTTGTTTTGCAGTTTCTTAAAACCGTATTAACAGATCGAAGAAACCAAGATTCTGATTTCTGTAAATGTTTACAGATGAAAAAAACGTTCGACTTCGAAGCGAACAACTTCTTGAGATTGGAAGCGGATTTGGTCTATCTCTGTGGTAGCTCGAATCTGACAAGAAGTCGTTTGTTTGAAGAGTTGGGTCTGTTTTTAAGAGATGATGATTCTCAGGAAGAGATTAGTTTAGAAATTTGTGATGCTATGAGAGTCAATGATCTTGAGGAAGGAGAGATCCTTTAAGAGTTTTTCTAATATGAAACTCATGGATGTAATTTTTGACCTGAAAATGTTCAACTTTGTTAATATATGATATTAAATGTTTGTTGCTCGCGTATGTACATAATCATGGAAAATTTTCTCATCAAAATGATGATTGCAAATCTTGTAAGCCCATCTCCACTTGATGGCTTAATATACTACATGCACGACAACATGTTCTATGCCAAATCATAGAGATTAAAATTCACCATAATATATCTTTGCAATCTCAAATTCCTTGGATTAGGCTCATTTCAAATGTGACATGTAAGTGATAAACTTTAGGATGCAAAATCACCAAAAGTGATCAAGTTTTGNGATATAAGCTCACCAAAGTTATCGCATTCATAGTTAGATTATCTAATCTTTCACCCGGGTTCTCTTAGGTTTTTTTTAACTTATTGCTTTACCGAGCAGATTGTCACAAACATTTTCCAGTTTTTGGTATATAAAATTCACATTTTATCAAAAAAAAAAAAGGTTCAATTACCTTCTTCTTTTCTTACTACAAAATTGTAATCCTCACTGTTCCTCCTTCCACTACAGATTTGATTGTATCTATCCATCCTTGTTCATCAGATTGATGCTTTCCGAACAACAACTACGTATTCAAGAAGCCAAAAAACCATATCATACACAATTTTACAGAGGTTTGAAATGTTCTAAAGTTGATTGGTTTACACCTCTGGTGGTGCAAAAGATAGATAGCTCGGTTGTATGTTCTTTATTTTTCTTCTTATGTAAAAACTTCTGTTATACAATTTTGATTGAAAAGTCCTATTGCTTTATTTTTAATGTATTTTTCTAAAACAACTACATATACAAAGATAATATATTTAGCTATGCCGTTTTTTTTTTTTGATGTGCCATTTTTTAATCCGTTGGACCTGATTATGGTAAGACAGGAGCTCAAATTTACGCACGCAAGGTGAACAATCGTATTTTTATCACCATTTACAAAAATATGAAAAAAGAGGAGCCGAAGATGAAAGCACAACATTCCTTT